CTTTTGAGATGCATACCAACCAATAATTTGCAATAGTCATTTACCATTATTATGACGTTAATTCAATAAAAAGGAGAGAAATGAGAATAAATATGAGTGTATGAGTACATGTTGGTTTTTTGGTTGTCCAAACTAAAACCAAAACCATTAAGGCCCTTATTGGTTTTCGGCAACCGAAAATCAATAAGGGCCTTATGGTTTTGGTTTTGATTTTTGGGATTTGGTTTTTGGTTTTTCATACTTAATGGTTTGGTTAACCAAACCAAACCAAATTGACAGCCCTAGTAATATTCTCATTACAACTAGAAAATAATAAAATTTGCCTTGAGAAATGTCGTCAAATGGAGTAGTCTGATCGACGGGAGCTTCTTCCTTGTGGCTGAGAGCCCTTGTTTATTTTATTCGGCGCTCCCTATTATGCGACCACTGTTCTTCCAAGTTTCGTTGATTTTATAAAAAAAAACCTAACTTTTAACATATTAATCAATGGGAGCTTCAAAATTTGAATAGTGTTATATGAATACTATTACTGGAATTATCAATTGTGTGGCAAGCTAAGTGCACGTCGTGGAATTGATACACAAGGTAATCTACTATCAAGTTGGCCCCGTCGGAGTCACAAGACTAACGAACATCCCACTCTAACCACATCATCTAACAAATGTGACGTCGATGTAGGTGTAGGACGTAGGATGTGTGTGGTCATGTGTCTGTGGGATGAGCTAGAGCCAGGGGCGAAGCCAGGATTTTAAATCCGGGGGGCCAAAATTAAAATTTTAAAACATACCAATAAAATAATAATATAAAATATATTTTTATTATTTATTATCTTAAACGTACACATCGCTCTTTGAGATCAATGAAATCACTCAAAATATCATCTAAACTAAAATTGTCCACTATATCATGTTCGATATAAATAACAAGACCATCAGCAAGAAAATCATCACCCATTTTGTTGCGCAGTTTGGTCTTCACCAACTTCATGGCAGAAAAAGCTCGTTCACCACTAGCAGTAGAGACTGGAAGAGTCAAAACAAGGCGAATCAGCCGATCAACAAGATCGAAATCCTTTGACTTCCCGGACTCTGCTAAACCACGACATAGTTCAGCAATAGATGATAGATTCGCCAAAGCAGGATGTGCAAGAGCAGCACCATGAAAAATCCTCAACTGTAATGCCAATCTATCTATTTCTTTCTCAGAAAAATCCAAAGGATAATACTTTCCAGCAAGACTGCAAATAACATTAGCATCGAAGGCTTTATATCCATTGCTAGGATCCAAACTCGAGCTCAATTTCAGAAGTTCAACAATCTTTTCCTCAAACCTTGCTCTCAATTCCTCTATCTGAACATCAAGGGCAGCATTGAATATATCAAAATGATAATGATGCTCATTGGTGATAGTATCTACCTGTCTGCAAGGATGACCTTCAAAATGTGAAGCACTAAAATCTGGAACTGTAATACTATAATCCTTGCAGAACTTGTTGACCTTTGTCAAGAAAGAATCACAACCTTCATCCCTCATTTCGTGATAGTATCTACCTGTCTGCAAGGATGACCTTCAAAATGAGAAGCACTAAAATCTGGAACTGTCATACTATAATCCTTGCAGAACTTGTTGACCTTTGTCAAGAAAGAATCCCAACCTTCATCCCTCATTTCCTTCAACGCCATTTTAGTAATTTCCACCAAACTCATGGCATTCACAATGTCTTGAGACTTATGCTGCAGAGCACGATAAAGTGTATCAGTGGTGCCAAAGATATCATTCAGTAGAAGTAGAATGAAAATAAACTCATATGATGACATCTTCCTCAAAGCTACACGAGCATCCCCTTTGTTTTTGACCGTATACCCATCTTTCTTTATGTCTTCCAGAACTTTGTAAGATGATTCATACAATCGAATAACACTGGATATAGAATTCAGATGTGAACTCCAACGAGTATCACCAGCTCGTTGTAAAGTACTCATTTGATTAACACTGGTTCCTGTGGCACTCTCTTCCCCTGCTACTAATTGAGCAATCCTAGCTGCTTCAATAACTTCCAATTGATCATGCCTCTTAGAAGAAGCATTAACATCATTTACAATATGTGTCAAGTCAATGAAAAACTCGTGCACGGCTGTCACATCTTTAGATGCTGCAACCCGTGCTAATTGAAGACGATGAGCCATACAATGCACATAATAAGCTTGAGGATGATCTTTCAGAAACAATGCTTTTAAACCATTCCATTCACCGCGCATATTACTAGCACCATCATAACCCTGCCCACGTAGATTCTGAATAGCAAACTTATGGGAAGAAATAGTTAAGCAAATCGAAGTGTGCAAAGTCATTGATGTTGTATCTCTAACATGGACAACATCAAAGAATCTCTCCTGGACAATCCCTTGAGGATCAACAAAGCGAAGAATGATAGCCATTTGTTCATGTTTACTCTCATCACAAGCCTCATCCACAATAATCGAGAATTTAGAATTTCCTATTTCTTCAAATATTTTATTGCGTACCTTCTTAGCTAGCACATGAAGAATTTGCTTCTGAATATCGGATGATTTATACTTCGCATTCTTCGGAGCATTACCCAACACAGTACTTTTGACTTCATCACTGTAGTAAGAGAAGCGATCAATAAGCTCAATGAAGTTGCCACGATTCTTAGAATGAAGGGTCTCATCATAAGCTCTAAAGGCGGCTCCTTGAAGTGCTAGCCAACGAGCACTATCAATTGAGGCTTTCACTCGAATCCTATTCTTCTTTACTTCCTCGGAAGTTTGCTTCTTAATCACTTTGTCAATGTGTTGAGGTTGGTGTAGTAATGCATCGCGCTTCCTTACTGCAACATTGTGATGAGAATTTGAGCTTTCTCCCATATGCTTTCGAAATGAACAACCTTTTCCACTTTTAACCTTTTTCCGATTTCGAAATCCTTCATTAACAAATGTGTCCCAACCAGATTCAGCAATAGGCTTTTCAGCAAACAAATAGCACGGGAGACAATATGCAGCATCCTTTGATTCCGAGTATTCAACCCAAGGAAATTCAGAATACCATGCAACTTGGAAGCCGCGAGGATGATCAGGATCACCAGTTCTAGGCAAGTTAGGAAGCTCAACTTGTAGGGGGGGCATAATTCAAGTAAGCTCGCCTTATCTCATCAAGTTTATTGGGTGGAAATGTCCACACTGGCTTACGCAGTCCAGGATCTCGTTCGATTAAGGCGAAGGATGGATTAGTCACTCTCGGACTAATGAGAGAATCCTCATTCACCACAACATTAGAGAGCTCATCAATGCCCAAGTTCAAAGCTCTAGGAACTACTTGTACTTCCTCTTCTAAATGATTACCAGTGCATGGCAAAACATTTCTTGGAAAAAATGCATCCAACTTCTTTTATTTTCTCTTCATGGTAGCTAACAAGAACAAAACAGAAAGGTAAGGTCATTAACATTATCAATCGAGAACAAATAAAACATGAACACATTTTGTAATCCAAGTTCAAAGTATCTATTCTAATTTGACAGTATACTGCAGATACATACCTATTGCTCCATGCCCCTAGTTTACTGTAGGTGTTTGAGAATTGAGCCAATCTTATATGGCAAGTTTCACACTCCAATTTCAGTTTAGCAACCATTAAATTAATCAATCCTACTTCAATTCCCAAACTGAAAAATCAATCTTGAGGGCTGTAATATTAAAACAAGTAAAAAAATTAAAATAATGAAAAGATGCAGCAGGGAGATGCCATTTTGTGGGTCTTTTAAAACAAAAGAAATAACAATGAAAATGAAGAGACACAACATGTATGAAACAAGTTTCGAACCCGCAAGCTCTTATTCACAATGTTAGAGTTTCACAACTGCAATATAACTATTGTTCGTGTTCATTTAGTGGAGATACCTTTATTTGTATATATCCTATAAATTCCCCCCCCCCCCCCCCCCCCCGGCCACTGGTCTAGCTTCGCCCCTGGCTAGAGCGCAACATAGTGAATTGCCTATAGAGCCACGCGTTTGAACTCCATTTCCTATATCAACTCAAGACCGCATAAGATTTTTCGTTATGTCGTTTACAATGATGGTTCCACCAATGAGATTTGAACTTAAAGGATCTAATGAATTGGTTATCCTTCCTTCCTTCCGCTTATACCCGACGAGGTTAACATGGATTCGTTGTCTGAGATGATCTCTTAGTGTTCAACTTTGGACTTTCCATAGTGCATGCCCCACCCCCACTCACCATTGTACTGAGTTTAACATGGATTCATCGATCATTATGAAATTTAGTGTGCACCAAATTCTAAAGATTAAGTAACAGTGTTACGTGACGATATTACTTATTGTCACATCTTGATGGACAATAGTCTCATCACACTAATCAATATAAAATCATCATGTACCAAATAACCAAAATGATCATGTCCGTGTCCTATCATCCAAAACGGTCCATCTTAAACCACTTGTTTGTCGACTGAATAATGTAGATTAGTTTGACAATCTTGCTAAACACACTTCAGGTAAAAAAGTTCATAGTGAACGGTAAAAAGAAAAGAACGAAAAGAAGAAAGCAAAGGGGGGATAAAAAGAAAAAAGGCTTAAGGACGTTTTGGCTGAAGCCACGTGTCTCGAGCTATGGAAAATTCCACTTTACCCCTGGCTCAGCGTTCCATATATTTCCGCAAGACGACAACGATTTTTCGACCATGATGGTAGGGGCAATTCCGAAATTTACAAACGTAACCCAACCAAATCGAGACCGCACCTTCATCTTGGGTGAGGCCACGTGGGCGAATCACCTGCTCTACGAAAAAACTACCCACTGTACAACCGGAGCCACGTATAGGTAAAACAAGAGAACCCAGGGGCGGATAATAACTCGCCACGCTGGCAGGCACGTCGACACAGGAACTCCACGTCATCGAACTCTTCCCCGAGACTCCTCCCATTCCCCCTATAAAATTTCCAGACCCATCCATTTTGCCCACTCCATCAGTCTTTCCAGTTTCCCCCACTAAACACAAAAAAACCTCTCCCACAAAAATAGCACTACTATTCTCCCCTTCCCTATCACACTCGCCGGCGGTGAGGTCTCTCATTGCTGCGGAATGAATATTCCGGCGGAAACTTTTCCTCTTATCTCCACACGCAATGCTCGCATCTCCGATCATCCTCGCCACGTCTTCCACGAAAAAGCCCTCTGCTAACCTCTCCTCCGCAACCTCCAAGTTATTCGATTCCTCCTTTCTGATCGTATGGAAGGTACCGGATTTTCCATCGTCAAACAAAAATCTGTCCGGCGACTCCATTTTTTTTGTTGTGTTTTAAGGTTTGATTGAGTCGGATTGTACTGTTGACGGTTCCATTTTTTTGAGTTCTATCGAGAGTAGTAGTACCTGGTTATAGAGCCGAGGAGAGAAATGTGCGTCGATTTCCCGGCGTTAACTTTTTTTGGGTGAAATGTACTAGACCGAGATTTAGGATCTGACCGAGTCATTGATTAGTACTCAGTGAGTGAATAGATTGTTGTAGAAGACGAGTGGACGCGTATCGTTTCGTTCAATCAAAATCCTCTGATTCTTTCATCTCTCTGACATGCCTCCAATGAAGATCCAGCCAATCGATGTCGATTCTCAGACGCAGCCGCTGGCTCTGGCCATAGCTGAGCCGGCGAAACCGGTGTTGAAATCGCGCTTAAAGAGGCTCTTTGACCGCCAGTTGCCGAGCGTGCTGAGGATTTCATCGGCAGATAAGCCGAACCTCGGAGACGCTCAGTATGTTATCAAAGACGCCGGTTTCGGAGCTGGAGGGGTCGAGTTCGAGCCGAGCTCCGTGTGTTTGGCCAAAATGGTGCAGAGTTACATGGAGGAGACGAGCGAGAAGACTCTCCGCGGTCGCACTCGTTGCAATTGCTTCAACGGCAACACCAATGACAGCTCCGATGATGAGTTTGAGGCTTTTGATGGCGGTTTTGGCGAGTCCAACATCAGCAGTGGACCGAACTGGGACGCCTCCGATGTTCTCAAGGTAAAGAAAAGCCGCCGTTCGCTTCTATTATGTACAATTTCCCGCTTCTCGTTTTTTCCGTTGCTTATCAAGCGTGAACTGATTGGAGCTTTGAATGTTAATGGTGTTGTGTTTTGACTGTCGCAGAGTCTGATTCCGTCCGCGAGCAAAGCGGAGAGAAATCTCCTCGCCGACACGGCGGCGATCGTCAAGAAGAAATCCTCTTCTTACAAGCTCAAAGGCGATTTGAGAAAGATCGTTGCGGACGAACTATCGGCTCTCGGCTATGATTGCTCCATCTGCAAATCCAAATGGGAGAAAGCCTCTTCTTACCCTGCCGGTACGTTTCCTCTTATCATTTCCCTTAGGTTTCCAGACTTTCTCTGCCGTCAATTTAGGTTTTGAAATTACGAATTGGATCGCTAATTCTTCAAATCGTACTTCCTCTCAGGTGAGTACGAGTACCTAGATGTGATTGCTGACGGCGAGAGACTGTTGATCGACGTGGATTTCAAATCGGAGTTCGAGATAGCTCGATCGACCAGCGCTTACAAAGCGTTCCTCCAATCTCTACCGCACATTTTCGTCGGGAAAGCAGACCGGCTGGGCCAGATCGTGTCGATCGTGGCAGAGGCGGCGAGGCAGAGCTTGAAGAAGAAAGGGATGCACTTCCCTCCTTGGAGGAGAGCCGAGTACATCCGCGCCAAGTGGCTCTCTCCGTTCACCAGAGCTCCGAACGATTCCGAAGGAGGAGTCGAGCTTCTGAGCGGAGGAGAAGGTTCGGAGGAGGAGGGAACGGAGTGCTGCGGTGAGCTGGAGTTGATTTTTGGTGAGAAAGGCACCGCGCTGTCGGAGACAAGTTCCGGCGAGGAAGGGATGAGGAAGGTGGAGGCGGCGGTGACGTGGCAGCCGCCGGCAGTGAAGCCGAAGAGTGCGAAGAGGAAAACTAAGATGGTGACCGGATTAGCTTCTCTTCTGAAAGAGAAACCGTAAAAAGAAAATTTTGGACTTGTCTATTTTTTTCCATTTTCCCTTTTTTGGCGGAAGAGAGAAACGTAAAAAAAAATTGGAAAATATAAAAGAAAAAGACGTAATAGGATAATGGTACCAGTTAGTTGATTTAGTTCGTCCTTTTTACCAATTACCACCCACCTTTTCTTAACCTGCTGTAGGTAGCTGATTAAAAAAGCAAAAAGCAGAAGGAGCTGATCTTACCGAGTATCAAAACCCTGTAATAAGGACTAATGAACGAGGAGAGGAAAAACTTGGTAAAAAGGAGAAGCAGTAAATATTTTGGAAGTAAAAAAACCTTTTTTACTGTGTTGCATTAACTGTAGAGTGTAATGAGTGAATGGTGCATCAAATCATTTCTTTTTTCGTAATTTCCCCAGTGGGTACATTTTTTATTTTTATTGGGTAGTGATATAAAGTGGGGATGAGTGCTCGTTTCCCATACCCCATGCATTTCTTTTAGGTGATGTTCCCTCCACAGGAACAAGCGCGGATGAAACTTTGTTTTCATTAGTTTTACCTTTTCCTTTTATCATCATTTCCAGTTTTGAAACTCCCAAATAATATAAAATTTTCAAATTTAATCGCGAGTAGAGAAGTAGTCGTGTCTTGATAAGATATTGTCCGCTTTATATTTATTCTTGTACGGTTTTGCTTTTTAGTGCATGGTGATTTTTTCTGAAGATCATCATTATGTTCCATATTTAAGTGTTTGATCTCAAATTTTTTACAATAATTTATCCATTTTACATCAAAATGCATTATATTAGTTAAAAAATGAATTATCCCTTAAAAAAATATATCACGAAGTGTACTTGGAGGCTTTGTTATTTGTCTAAGAAATGAAAATATGTGGTCGTGGCATCTCGAACATCGTGAGAGGCAGATCAAAAGGAAAAAGAAGGTAAGACGGAAAACGTTCATTACAATGGCGTGATTGCATTTTTATTTTTCATTAAATAACAATAACTTTATTATTAACATGTTTTAATTGAGTGGGCGTGTGTGTATTGGATAAAAGGAAAATGTTTCTTATTTTATTTTTCAACTGATCACATCGTGAGCTCCATTCACTATTGCTCTTTGGTTTCCGAAATGAGGTTTTTATTTATTTAATATTTTTTTCCATGGAATTTCTCAAGTTTATCCGTCAGTCTATATATTTAATAAATATATCAATTGTTATTGGTTTGTCAAAATTTGGTGATGGGGTTATGGAGTTTTGACTGTGGAACGGTGTAAACTAGGAAGATGCGAGCACACGTGGAAGTTGGGGAGTGGTTGAGAAAATTGGGATGACGGACTCAATTTTGACCGTCTCGGTTCTTGGCTTCTTTTGCTTACCACGACCACCGCCCATCCATATTCCTCGCACTTTTTTACAGTCCACCGTGTTGGCCTTTTACCTTTTTCACCCTGTTCAAATGTGGAAGTCACCGGCTTACAATTTTTACCACATTGGCTGTGTATGTCAAGCATGAAGATGATGACTAGCTTGAAATAGGTGATCCGAAACCATCTATCGTGTAAGCTTGTATAGTCGACACTCAAACTAATGAGTGAGTTAATTGATATATCTAGAGGAAGGATGTATTTCAATTGACTCATTATGCATCATTTCAATTGTCGTAGACCTTAAAGTACCACTAGATATTTTAGTTCAATAACGTAGAATGAAATATTTCGACCAAAATAACTCATTTCAATTTTCACAGACCTCAAAGTACTACTAGATATTTCAGTCCAATAACGTAGAATAAAATATTTCGATCTAAATAACTCATCCAAATGATACAACCCTACAACCACCAGATTTACCCTCTTTTATTTTACCTTTCCTTTTTTGCGCTCTTGAAATCCCAACTTGCTTCCCCACCTCGTCACCTGTGTTGTGGAGTGGTCGTTGGGGGCTGAAAATTCAGGTTAGTGGGAGAAACGGCCTTTTCTCATGTACATGTCTAGTAACAAAATATTCCAAACCACGGGAAGAAGTAAAAAAAGAAAAAAAAAATTACCACATGTACCAGAGCCGGTAAATCTCTTTTTTACCATCCCGGCTCCTTTTTCAACTAGTGCTGGTAAATTTACCAAAAACTAATAAATGGAAATTTGATTTGTATAACACGGAAGAGTTTTTGGGTGTTATAGAAATTAGGGTTTATTAATAATTATTGTTTAGTCGGAGAAGATAATGATTGATTTGATGCGGTTGTGGGGCAAGTTTTAATTATTTTTTTGGGTCTATTTAATTTAATTGGGGTATACATATCATATATCTTGTTTGAATTATTAAACTAGTAGGCATATAGGATAGGATAGTGGTGGGTAGGGTCGGTTGCAATTAAACAAAAAGGTCCGGTCCGGTCCTACAAGAAAACACAACACAGCAAGCAAAGAGCAAAGGAAAGTTGTGGGGGTACCCCTCTTCCTTTTAATTCTTTTTCTCTTGTGTATTTATGATAATTTCTTTCTTTAATCTTTTTTTATTAGAGACTGGGGCCTACAGTAGGCCCTCTAAGCAACCCAAAATCATAAAAAGCTAAAAATATGTTTATATGGAGATTTGTATGATATACTTTTCATTTTTTTAGCGTGGTTATTATGTACTTGCCTACTTGGTGGTGTAATAGATTTATTGATTTTGATTATATGATATAACATAATTTTATCGAATAAAAATACATCAAGTAATTGTAGTTCTAGACTACATTATTTATAATAAAAAAAATAGTTGTAATTAACATTTTTAAAGTCCACGATTATAGACGTGTCTCTTGTTAAAGTCCACAATTATAAATCTTCTACCCGCACTTAATCAGGTGCGATTGTGGGTGGTGAATGGATTGTGGGTCAGTCGAATGATTCACACCACATTTTCACATGACAAAATATTTTTCTTATTTATAATATCCAATAGTCATCATATTTACTAACGCACTACATTATTATTATTATTATTATTATTAGTTACTATGTTGCGTAATGTTCATTGGATATTGGGTTGCAAATTATAGCCAATTGATCGTATCATAGTCAGAAAATGTGTCAATTTCTCTACGCAATTTGTTGATGCAACAATGAAAAATAGAATGCAAATAGTACATGAATCCACATGAGACAAAGTGGGGAGTGTCTAAATTGATACAATTTTACTAATTTGCGAGAAACTTGTTATAAGTGTTAGTTAACTTTCTTAATGGATAGATGAAAAATTGCTTTCGAGGGCTGACCCACAACCCAGCCGCATCCACCGCCACCCATGACCCAACCATCCCAACTCAAAGGATGTGGGTGAATAGGGATCACAATTATACCAATCAGCTAGTAAGCGGGTGGGTCAATTGGAGACCAAAGCTCACCCAATCCGCTCATTGCCCCCAGACAATTGTAATTGCTTCAAAACGAGTCAATTTGAAATTCCCCATGCAATTGCTTCATCTAAATTTTGTGGTGCAAAATAGATAAATTTGGTCAGATTGTCTCAAAACGAAACAATTAGGTGAAATTGATCCGTTAGAATTTCTCATCCAAACGCACCCCTAAATGATAGAGAAATAAGTTAAGATAGTAAGAAAACGGAAACCTTGTTGGTAAATTGGAAATCAACTATCCCACCTAGAGAATTAAATACCTCTGATTTGTAAGGAGAAGTAAATTGTTGTTTAGAAGGGATGAACATATAAGTTGAATCCATTCCGAAATGAACAAGAGTGAAGATCAAATGAACATATAGGTTGCCCATAACCCTATTGTTGCCTATATTATGATATTATATAGGCAACAATAATCAAAGATGATAAGATTAAGAAAAGGGAGTAGTGTGTGTGTAAGTGACTGCATTTCGTGAAGACTTGGGCAAAGAAAGCTTATTACAGACAGGCTGAGTTTAAAAACGCCCGAATCTTTCTTTGCACATTTCACCATTCACAAGTCACCAAGCAAAGCAACCAATCACTTCACCAATGTCCCTTTCTCGGATGGGCAAAAATATTAGAGAGAAAAATACTTGGTGGTGGCCGGTGGGTTGCTTTCATTAAAGGCGTTTATCATTACTTTCATAACTTTCCTCGCATTTCTTTTGCCTTAACATTTTCTTGTTTGCTTTAGAAACACATACACTTATCGTATTGCAAAATTTCATAATTGTACTCGACATAATTCACAGATCGTCATATTATGTGAACCAAATGATCCCGTAAATCGCCCTCCTCGTTCATTCTCTTACCAATGGTGGTGGCCATTATGAAAGTAGGAAAAAGATTAAAAAATTGATTTCTGTCACTTTACTTAGTTTTTAGGGTAGACTTTGCTTAGACAATTTTATCGTTATTTTTACCGTTTCGATATAAAACGATAGATATATACTGTTGGAAATGACTGAAAGCTTTTCAATAATTAATATACAATCCCTCTCCTCTTCTTCTCCTTTACACTTCCTTCCTTTTTTCTTCTCTTTTTCACCTTTTTATTCATTCATTTCCCGTTGAAAATGAAAAATAAAGGTGGCCGGGGGTTTCTTTTTTTCCTTTTTCTGTTGGGGTGGGTTGGGTTGTCCTTGGTTTGTTTTCAAACCTTTTAAACCATTAGTGGGTTGCCTACCACCTAAAATACAACCCATCGTCGGGGTCTTTGTATGTTGGCTTTTCTACCAACAGAATCAAACTAAGTGGAGTAGGTTAACATTCTCTCTCTTTTTTCTCCTCCTTATTCTTTCCCTTTAATATACGATTTTTCTTTTTGTAATCCCTTAATGTATGATTTTTCTTTTTGTATAGTTGATGTTCATGGGTGCGCTGTTGGAAGAGATTCGAAGTTTACGAGACTTGTTTCAGGAGTTTCGGGTTATTTTTGTGGGTCGGGAGTTTAATAGGGTTGCCCACTTGGTGGCAAAAAAAGTCCTTTCGTTGTCCTCTTCTTTGGTGAGGTTCAATTTTGTTTCTGGGCTGTTTTCAGCTATGTGACTCTTTTGTATCTGACTGTTTTCTCGGCAATACGAGTGATCTTTTAGCAAAAAAAGAAATTTCTTTTAGTACTCAGTACACTATTCCATTCTTTAATTATATTCCCCTATTGATATCTTCCACAGTTAGTAGAATTTTGTTTCTTAAAGTAAGATAATATATTCAACTAGTTACAAATTTGTATAAGATCGACCAATGTATTGGTGAGCAAGGGAGGAGGGAGAGGAGAATAAGGTAGGTCCTCGGGAGATTTGAGTAAAAATAAGTATATTAATTATTTGAAGGTGTTAATTAATATTTGTTCACCGAAATTAAACCAATTCGTGAAATACATTGTAATTTTACACAAATAATAGTATTTATAATTTTTTGCATAGACACTAATATTTTTTAAAGATAAAATTACGCTCAGATGTATATAATAGATAACAATTTCTACTATGAAAAAGGGAATTTTTAATAGTGATTTTTTTTCCACGCAACAAATTACACGGAAAACGTGCTTTTAAATGGAATGAGTATAAGTATCATAAATGATTATTTTGTAAGATAATTTGAGATTGATGTTCATGTCCTAAATAGTTTGAATGTAATTGCACTTTATGTTCCTTTGGGGACATTCA